CCTTCTGTTTTTTCATGTCATTTGAAAGATGTGGGAGAAGGAGAAAAAAAGGACACCTTCTGTAGAAATGCACACAAGAAATCTTCTTGCCTTGATTCAAATATGAGCTGGAAAGTGCCCAGTTGGTCAGAGAGCTGGTTTTCCAGTATGATTTTTCTCTCATGCTCCATTAACCCTGTCTTGTTGATCCTTGGCTTTATACCGTGTCTTCATGATTCTTGGCTTTGAGCTTCCCCTCTGATTTTTGATCTGAGGACCTTCCACGCGACATTAACAGTCAAGAAGGGAATTCCCAGAGGACTGGATGGTGTTTGAGAACATTGCTTCTAATGTGATAGAAGGCTATGTGTATGGACTTTGCTCCAGACATGATTTACCTTGGCCTTAACACATCTATTGCTTTGAAATGACCTCCTTCATGGATGGCCCCTAATTCTGGCACGTATGGAGAAGATGGGGTAATTTCTCACTCCTTCTGAGAGAGAGGACCTGTGTTGAATTGCTTTGCATCTGCTAAGGGGGTAGATCACTGCGCGGGTAGATGCTGTGGAACAGCTCACGTTTGGTAACCAAAGATATTTGATAAATGTAGATTCCTTTGATTCCCTCTCTGCGTGTTTGCTCCGTGCCTGAATTCCTTGTCCTGCAAGTGTTTTGTACCCGTTTCATCAAATTAATCCTCAAAATTCTCCTTCGCTTTGATCCAGTAGGCAGATAGCATCTGGGTTGTTGGCACACGAGACTGAATGCTGCCTTTGGTGCTGACTGATAACTTCTTGTAGTCTCTTTCACGCGTCTGCCTTTTGTGGAGCCCGTCCTGATCTGTATTTGCACCCTGCCAAGCTCAGTGGAAGTTCAGTTCGCCAAAAGTCTATTAAAAACCCTCCTTGGCTTGTGTCCTTCACGCTTTCACACAGCTATATTTTGGGCGTTTGATTTCTGTGAGTCCTTCACAGATGTGGAGCTCCTCGTTTGTGTACACAGGCTCCCCAGCCCTCGCATGGAAAGCTTTTCAGGATCCAAGCTGAAGTGTTAATGATGCTGGAGGAGAGCATCAGCACTTTTCCAGGGTGTGCTGGAAGGGGAGAGACTGTCGCTTCCCGGTGAGCAAACGTGCAGGCCACTTGCTAGACCTGGAAAGGGGAAAATTGGAGTTGCTGGGACTCCAGCTACCACGCTGGACTTGCATTTACATCCCCAGCAGCAAGATGAGGTGTGAAGTTGGTTTCTATGGATGATTTAGTGGTTGGCAAAGGCTGAGGTTGATAATTGGTACCATTTGTGCTAATTTTGTCAGCATTTTTCCTCCTGCCTCATTGGTAAGTTTTAGCTTTTTAATTTTTTTTTGTTGGGTTTTTTAGTTGTGGTTTTTTTTTTTCTTTTTTTTTTTCTCAGTTTGGGGGAACAGAGTTGTGGTTTCACATTCTTGTTAAATTTTTAATTTTTTTTTTTGTTGGGTTTTTTAGTTGTGTTTTTTTTTTCTTGTTTTTTTCTCAGTTTGGGAGAACAGAGTTGTGGTTTCACATTCTTGTTAAAGACCAGGGCTGTGATTTATTCTGGGTGGAGGCTGGGGAGCGGGGGGAGAGCACAGGGAAGGAGATTATAATTGGACTTGGGCTTCATATTAGGTTTAAAAAAATAAATAAACTGGCCGGAACAGCAGTAGAGCCAAGTAATTCTATTTCACTTCACACCAAATTTAGTAAGCTGAGGAAAAAAAAAAAAAGCTCAATTTCACAAAACTGTGGCAATTCCTTATTTCCAACTCAGGTTTTCCTCTCTTTTCTTCAGCTTGTGTCTACTGAGAAGAGGCACATGTAACCTTCAGCTTCCCTGGGTTCCAGGCTTAAAAACTATAAACTTTATATAGCATTGAAGTGTATGTAGGAATAGTAATGGGTTCAAATTCTCCCTTCCAACACCACTAGCAACAATCCTCCAGCTTTACAAAGGCTCTTCTCTGCAGGAACAACCTCCAGAGGTCAGGAGGTGATCATCTCACCAGGTTGATTTGATGTGTCTTGGAACAATAGAGAAAGTGTCCTTTTAGCTGCTGGATACCTTGGAATTTGATACGAAAAAGGACTGGATGCTTTTCTTCAAAAGCTGCCTCAAAGGAATGAGTTTTGATAAGCCTGAACTGACTTGAAAGCCTGGACTGGAAGGTGCATAGTTCTTTAGCTGGCAGAACAGGAAGGCTTTCCATGGTGTGAGGCTGCAAAGACCTCAGGAGATCTGCTGTGCCCTCCAGCTGCCTCAGGAACACAGCCCATGTAAGCCCAGGTGTTGGTGGAACTTGATCATTTGGGATCAGGTTGATCTCTTCTCAGTCCAGACATTTCCAGCTGAGCTTGTCAACCTGGACTCCTTCTGTAGACAGTAAAGAAATACAGAAACTCTCAGCACACCATACATTTCTCCTGTTTTCCATGTCTTCTTTGGGTGAGGTGATCACCTTTTAGGCCCTTTAGGTGAAATCACTGCATAAATAGAAGTGTTTATAGAGAAATTAGCCCGGCTGAACTGCTGCCTGTCTGGGTCAGGAGCCCAAATCTACCTCCCCCCACACCAGTGTGTGGCACTTGGTGAGCATTGGCTGCTCTGGCTCTCCCCATCAGCTCCTGCAGCTCAGTACAGGCAGTTAACATGGACAAGGGGCTTTTTTGGAGGGGATGGGTGGTAGAAGAGCAGTAGAGACGCAGGTAAATCTTCATCCATCTTCCTCAGTTACTGGATACTCAGAATCCTGGGGCACGAAGCAGTTAAAAAGGGAATGGATAGAAAACTATCAAGAATGGGGGGTACCCCATCTAAGGGGAGATGCTCTAGGTGTTTTGTTTCTTTCCCAGGGACTTCTGGTTGATCTGGAAATTGAGGGTCATAAGGAAATGGGAGCAAAGAGCTGCAAACTCACAGGATTTACACCATTCACAGTCATGAAGTGTGATGATTAATTAATCACTATTTCCTGGCACTCCTAGGTGGGCAGGGACTGCTGCCAGGAAGGGAGCTTTCTGGGATGGTGGCTGAGAAAGTCAGGATCTCTAAGGATGGGAAGAAGCTGTCTTCCCATCTTCTTTCCAGGCCCAGAGACAACGATCTCTGGGTATCAAGGTATTATATGTAAACAAGGGTTCACACTTCAAGTTGGTGATAGGGGTTTTGGGTGTATTTTTTACCCCCTCTTTTTTTTTTTTTGGTTCCTGCAAGCTGTTTACCACTTTTGCTGGCCTCTGGAACCATGTCATGAGAACCTACTTGGGAGTTCACTGAAATCAAAGGGCGACTTTTGCTTTGTTGGCAGCAAGGACCTCAAGAGAGGTCCCTCCCCATCTCTCCTGGAGCCCCTTGAGGGACTGGAAGGAGCTCCAAGGTCTCCCTGGAGCCTTCTCTTCTCCAGGCTCCTCAACTCTCTCAGCCCCCCCTCCCAGCAGAGGGGCTCCAGCCCTCCCAGCATCTCCATGGCCTCCTCTGAACTCTTTTCAACAGCCATGGCCAAGGTCTGCATCGGGCTGCCCAAACCTGGCCCTCATCCCTCATCTCTCCCCATTTTTGGGGTTCCAGAAGCCCAAAAAAGTTTGGGAAGCGGAGAGGCTTATTTCACAGTCATGTACAAAGATTACCAAAGAGATTAGTTATGTCAAATATTAGGAAAAAGAGAGAAGCTCTCCCAGGAAGCATAAAGCAGTGCCTCTGACAAGAAATGGGTAGGAGGGAGCCAACTGATTGCTGAAGGAGACCCCTGTATTGTGACACTGTGTTATATGGGAAATCAATCATCTCAAATGATCTAATGGTCCCTTGTTGCCTTAGGAAAAAAAATAAAAAAGTCTATTAATTTGTTCCAGTTAGTTGTTCATGCAAGAGAACTCGTGAAGGAAAATGAGCCAGGAGAAAGAAAGAACTGCTAAAAAGAATTTGCTTCCTGCAGGGTACGTGGTTTTAAAAGCATGGCTTGGAGGAATTCCTAGCATGGACAAAGCCCAGTGCCCTCATGAATGGGGACTTTTTGCTACTGCAAACTCTTCTCCTGGTCTCACCTAAACAGACATGTCCCTTCAAATCCAGGGGGAGGTCAGGGTAAGTTGCTGAGGCCCTTTGGATATCTATGGGTGGGCACGTCGGCATAGCTGAGGGAAGATTGGACTCCTATCAGGAACTAGGATTAATATCTGCCAGTGTAAACAAGAGCTTCAGGGCACATCCTTGACTTTCAAGTTCAATGGAGATGGTTTTTTTGGTACCAACCGGTCTAGATAGCACCTGAGAGAAGATGTGGAAATGCTCCTCAAGCATTATGGGCTTGACCAAGGACTCTCCTTGATGCTTCAGACCATGGTGGTGCTGTGCAGATCTGCTCCTCTCTACCACAGCTCTGACTCAGTGATGTGTCCTCACCATGACCTGGACCCTTTTCTGACGACGTGAGGGCCTGGTGACCCCATACTGAGCTGCATTGTAGACTAAGAGAGGACATAAACCCTGGTGTCTATATCTGAAGCAATGGTCTGGCTGTGAAATGGGAGAGAGGCAAAAGACAGGTATGAAAGTGTCACACACAAAATATCTGAGAGGGCACATCTGCAAAGCGCTTGCAGAAATCATGAAAACGTTAAGTTAAATGTCCCAAACTCCTCTGCTTTGCACCAAAGCACGTGCTGAGCACAGCGTGTGCTGAGCTGATTTGGGGCCCAGTGCCTAAAACCACAAGACCTCTGTGGGAAAGCTTATTAGCTCTTCCTGCCTCTGCTGCCTTTTAATTCCTCACAGCTGACTTCCAACTTGTGCTAACATCTCCTCGGCCACAGCACCCATCCCTAGTGAATTCGAAGACAATGCTGCTCTTAAGGAGCAGGAGGGGTAATTCCAGGATTAACAACTGACCTTCTCTCGTGTGTTTTTATGTGCTTATGTGTCTCCAAGGACAGGATTTGTACTTTTTGTCCTGTTTAGAAAAAGGCGCTTGACCGTATTTCATTTTTTTTTATGGCGTGTTGTAGGCTTGGCCAAGAGAAAAACATGAAGCAGAGTGTCGCTGAAGCTGTAAACAGGGCAGGAGCAGATGTTCCTTCCCTTCTGCAGAGAATGCGAGGCAAAGGAGAGAGAAAAAAAAAGGGGAGAGAGCCAGAGCTGCCCAGGAGGGAGGAATGAAGTGTGGTGTGATCCAGTTTGGAAGGAGCTGAGAGGATCTTGCCTGCTTAAATTAAAGTACAGCTTGATAAATCTTGACTGTGCCTGTTTTCTGCGTGGGGCCCCTGGAAATCCTGAGGATAAGACGGACACCTAGGAGAAAATAATGGAAAGCAAGCCAGGAAAGAATGTTTTTCCCCTGAATTAAGACTTCCTAGGCACTGGGTGACTTGACCTTCACAACCCAACCAGTGCATCCACCTTCAGAAGTTCATGCTTGGCTCTGTAAAGGTAGGTATGGGATGAAATGCCCGTGAATGCCAGGGCTGAGGGAGCACCCAATGCACTACTGGGAGGCCATGTTTGGATGTGCTTGTTGGCTTTTTCTACCAAGTTCTAGGTGGTGGTCAGCCATGAAGGAATATCGCCATGTCTGAGCTGCCCGACAGCCATGTAAGCGTGGTTGGGGTCCTTCTGCTGAGCCATAGCTCAGGCTTGGCGTGGTGAGACCACCTCTGTGTTTTGTGTGATGACGGTGGGACACAAAAGACTGAGGTGAACCTGGTTCTGTCTGGTCCTCATAGTTTTTGACGCAATCCACATAATCTAGTAATTGGTGAACTGTATCCATCTGTTGAAGACCTGTGTTGTATGAGAAAGAAGTGTTTGGGACTCCTGTCTCTTGTCCTTGCTGTCTTCTGTGGTCAAGGAAGATGCCTTTGAATTAGGAATGGTGATCAGATTCGACAACATAAGATCTGGCAAAAGAGGGGAGGTCAAAACTGAGAATGACACCAGTTCTGAGTAGCAAAACCAGTGCAGAGTGGGGATATAACTGTGGTTTTCAATATGAAGGTCTATGAGAAAGAACAATTATTTAAGCTCAAAGATAACATCAAAACAAGGGTAAATGAAGATAAACTAAGCACAGATCAATTCAGAGGGGAAATTAGAAGGTCTCTAAAAGGTAGAAAATGGATGTTTTGGAACAGGTTCAGACAGAAGCAACCAAGGACAGATTATGGTCACATGGAGCTCAACCAGTTTTGGAAAGGATGGTGGGTACTTCTGCTTGTGATAGGAGGGACTGGACCTTGTGGGCTGCCTGGTCCTTCCTTTCATTGCTATGGGGAAAACAATGTGTAGGAGATTGAAAAGGCTCTTTGACTAAGACAGGCATAAATTTAATCCTCCCTTTAAAAACTAGCGAAGAGCTAAATAACTCAGGGACCCCAAGGCAAAAGGCCTTCAGAAACTGACTGCATTCAAAAAAGGCACCCCTAAAGCTCAACCAAAAAGAATTTAAATACCTCATTTGTACAAATGAGGTACAGAGAAGGCTAAATTTTCCCAGCTCATTTATTCCAGCAAGTCCACCTGAAAGCAAGAGTTATATTTCCCCTCTGAGTGCAATTTCCTCTTACTTTTTGGGTCGGTATTTCACAGCTTGTCACTTCATTTTGCTCCCCCACCCAAAGCTCTGAATGAAGTTGATTGGGGATGATTGAACCAGTTGCATTTTTCTCCCTCCGGAGGTTGTTGCCTTTCAGTAGCAAGTGAGATGATAATGACATGGCTGTAGAAGTGCCCATTTATTCCTGCAGCCCAGGCTGGACTCCTCTCAGCACCTGGACAGACAAGTAGGACTCTCCAGGAGACAAACCAGAACATGAAAGCTGGGTTCTCACCCTGCAAGTGTGGTGGAATTCGTGGGGTAAATGAGACACCACTTAGTGTGGGTGCCACCCCACCAAGCTGGGTGCCTCCACAACCTGAGGTGTCTCCAACAATGGTTGGGTGAGGATTAGTCATGGAAATGTGCTGCTTAGACACCCGTCACCTGGGCTTCGCTCCGTGGCCTTTTTTTCATCTTATGAATGCCATGAGTATAGGACAACAAATCTTAAATCAGTGGAAAGGTTAAAAGAGACCTTGTAATGTCTCTGTAATGGTCTGCATGCTCAAATGCAGATATATGACTCAGCACACTCATTTAATACTACCAGGCAGACGGTTTAGCTATTCCAGCTCATTGCAAGAGAGGACTTTATCTGGTAATCCAATAAGCTTAATTATATCATTCTGATAATAAACAATGAGGCAGATTCAAGGCAGGCAAAGCCTAAACACAGTAGACCAAAGAGCCTCTGATTTGTTATGTATCAGATGACTTTTAATCAGGCTATCATACCGGTACTGGATTCTCCACCCAGTATAAACCAGTGCAGCTTTACTAAAGTCAAGGTACCTGGGTCAATTTTTCCTGCTCTGAGTAGCTGGTCTGAAGTGATTAATGCTGTTTAACTTGCAATACTCATTTTAACCTTGTGAATCGTGAAAGCTGTGATTCCAGTAAAAGGCTACGTCTGCCTCACATCTAATCAAGTAATTGTGTGTAATTGCAGATAATCAGAGGCCTTAGATCTAGAATGCACAGCAGCTTGCATTTAAAAAAAGCCTCCCAATTAAATGAGTGGCGAATACAAGTGGGTTTTTCTTCTTTTTTTTTAAATCCTTTTTTTTTTTTTGTGGGGCTAATTGCAAGAAAGAAGCTCACTCTTCAATTAGAATATTTTGTATATTAGGTATTGTTTTTAATTAGTCTGAAAGTCTCTGTTATCCATCACAAAACCTTCTGCATGTGCACTCTTTTCTAGACCAGATGCGGCGTGCTGCATTTCTGAATCCTCTTAGTCCAGAATCCACAAATTATGCTAATATAAACAAACTGAACTAGAAAGATTCACTCTCACTTCAAAACAATACTATGGGTATACAAAATATAGAGGTCACGTGAAAGCAGTGCTGGAAACCAGAGATTATTATGGAAATGCCAACATATTTTAAACAATACCTCTCTGACTCTGAAGCTCTGAAGGAGAGAAGACACAGGTTGCTTTTCACTCCTTAGCATCTGAGATAAAGTTGCCTGAGGCTGGACACAGCACCCTTAGGGAAAAAATACAATAACTTGCCTCCACTAAGTTTTTACATCAAATCGGTGCCTTTCAATTTCACAAGGTACGTTTTCACCCTGAAGATACAACTGGAATCCAATAAAATAAGGTGGTAATCTTTTTTTGTACATTTTTTTTTTTAACCGTACTGCCAAAGCTGAAAGCTTTTTGCACAGAGAGGCTCCATCAAATCTGAAGTGATATCATTGATATAATTTGTGGTGGGGGCACGGAGTTTCTGGAGGATGAAGCTCTGAAGGCTCAGGAGAACAGTGACCCATAAAGCCCTCTCCTGGACGATTATGCCCCTAGGAGTTTAGCCAGGATGTCACTTGAACCTGCAGCCAAAGCATCTCAGATCACATCAATATCTTTGTTTTAGCCATCAGATGAGTTTATATTAAGGTGTCAGGCTAGAAATGGAGTGGTGGGGCACAGACCCACTAGTTTCTTGCAAAGACCTGGAAACAGAGACTTTGCTTCAAAATTAGAGCAAGTGATACTTTTTAATGTTGATTTCCCTCTAATAAATTGATTTTTGCACCTTCCTTTCTTCCAAGCTCCGTTGCACTTTATAAATGTAGACATTTTACTTTATTTTTTCCATATTTCCCTTCAAAGTCATATCTTTGAGGTTAATTCTCAGCTGGGTGTGTCTCACTCCACCCCAAAAGCTGATGCTCTCCTGCTCCCTTCCTGGCAGGATGAATAAAGTCACTTCACCCCAAGGAGGAAGAGGATTTAATGGTCACTGTCACGCAGTCCTTTGATGTTTCCCCTCTCTCATCACGATGCTGTCTTCCGTGGTGCTTGGCTGTGCTGAGAATGGTCTCCCCATCGACCACCTCTGCCCTTGTTTCCTTGACAATATCTCACTTGCTTTCCTCAGCTCTCCAAGAATTGACTCAGTCTGTCCCATTCCAGACAACTAAATTATTCCTCTTATGGTTAAGGACCTGGTGGGATGGCAGTACTTTTGCTAACCAGGTATCCCGGGACACTGTGGGACACCCCTTCCTCTCTCCCTGCTTCTCACCTCTTCTCTTCCCACCACCCCAACCAGCACTCCAAATCCAAGAGTTGATGATCCTGGAAGCAACGACATGAGGGGTGTTCACCCAACAGTTGTCCTGAAGGCTCTCTGCGTGGCACAAAACACACGTCTGGAGTTTTTCTCCTGGTTGAAGGTTGGACATGCTGCTTGACGAAGAGAGTGGAAAGGTGCTACCCAAGGGCAAGTTATGGACTGTCCCCAGATGAGAGAGAAATCCACCAGATGAATACCCTGGAGCTCAGAAGACAGCCCAGCACTGGCTCTGCATGATGCCATTTTCCAGCCATTGATCAGGTAAGGATGTGCTCTGCTTCATGTGGCTCGTGCTGCACGTGAACATACCCCAGCACCGTGGCTTCCTCCTGAGATGAAGTCAGCCAGATTATTTTCCACACAAACAACATGTCTCATTCTCAGTGAATTTCAATTTGGCAGCAGAATTTTTCTCGAAATGTTAAACTGATTTGAAGGAAAGGCTGCTGCTTCTCTTGAATAATCTGAGACGTGCGATACCTGTCAAAAAAAAAAGGGGGATTGATTGACTTCAGCTGGTAGAAAGCTCAGATAATGAGGGCTCTTTTAGAGGCACAGCAGCTCTTTGAAAAGCAGCAGCAGTTTTGGGGTGAAATATGGTGTTTCACAGTGCATGGCAAGGTAGCATGATGGGAGCTGAAAGCAACTAATATAACTCCTTCACCTCTGAGGTTATTTTACGGTGTCATTAATGAAGTTAGAATAAAGACAGGACAGTGAATTTTGCAACAAAAGAAAAAAGGAAGTAGTTGTAGAGCATTTAACAGCCAGAAACTCTGTTTTATAACTACACCAAAAGAAAAACCCATTCACTTTCATATCTTTCTTTCCATTCCATTATTATTAATCCAAGCGGGACTTAAAGGAAAGGGATTATACTCACTGGATTAGTAACACTATGTTTCTCAAATTGGAACTCATAAATCCAGGTGGATGCTTGCAGCATCATCAAATCGGTGGAAATTTAGCTGGGAAGGTGAGACTGGCAACCGAAAATGGCCATTTCAGGGAGGCAATTAATCTGAAGGTGAAATTACTGTGTGGTCCCCGCAGAGTTCCCTCTGGTTTTGTGCCTTCATACCCTGCTGTGGGTGGAGGTTGAGCTGGAGGTAGACTGCTGAATGCAATCAGCCCATATTTTGGGAATCTGAGTGGTTTCTTGGGGCTTTGGAGAAATGCAAAAGACTTGCCTGTATGTGGTTTCTTCTTACATGGGACATTCTGGGCAGGTTACATACCCAGCAGAACGGAGACCTGCAGCAAATAGGCATGAAATCTGCTTTCCTCAGTATTCAGCTTTTTCTTCCATGGAAGCTCTCAGCTTGGTGCACGCTTTTGTTGCTATAATTACTCAGTGACTACATTAGATCCCCGCTTCTCATTTTTATTCATTCTCTTTTGTTTTCACTGCTCTTTTTCCCTGGGAAAGAGGCATTCATTTCTGGCTGCTGGTCTTACATCTAACGAGTCACACTTGTCACTTTGGGGTGCTTCTTGCTGAGGGTGTAACAAATGCTTTCAGGAAGCTTTGCTGCTTCACCAGACTCTGGCAACGTCTCAAGAAGGGAGAGATGACTGTCAGGAAAGTAGCACATAAACTGCTGAAGGGCACTATGCTTGAGTTCAGACCAAGTGTCTGAGTGCAGTTAGTCTTCTGGTTGAAGAAGAGAACACACCTGTGGGACTTCATGAGATTTGTCACCGTGGAAGGGGCTTGGGGAAACCTAATTTGCTGGGAGAGGAAATGCAAATATTTGGGAAGAGCCAAGAGTCATAGAATCACAAAATGGTTTGGGTTGGAAGGGACCTTAAAGAGCATTGAGTTCCAACCCCCTGCCCTGGGCAGGGACACCTCCCACCAGACCAGGTTGCTCCAAGCCCCCTCCAACCTGGCCTTGAACCCCTCCAGGGATGGGGCAGCCACAGCTTCTCTGGGCAACCTGGGCCAATGCCTGACCACCCTCACAGGGAAGAATTTCTTCCTAATATGTAATCTAAACCTCCCCTCTTTCAGTTTAAAACCATTCCACTTTGTCCTCTCACTCCCCTCCCTGATCAAGAGTCCATATTGAAGGGCCTTATCAACAGAGTGGAAAAATGAGAGGCTGGTGGTTATAATACCCACGTTCTGATTTACAGTTGTTGTGTTGTCACCGGTGCATTTGGCTGTTGGAGCCCAGCATCTCTGGGCGAAGCGTTGTCATTATTCTCTGGGTTCATACAGCATCTAACACAGCGTGTGTGGGAGAACATGAAGGATCCAGACTGTGCATGGGGCTTCAGGACAAGAAAAAGAAACTATTATTTTAACTATTCAGTTAAAAGACAGCACTTTCACGCCTTGAAGAACAAACAAATGTGGAGAATGGATGGGCGCAGGCAGAAAGGCTGTCTCAGAGCTGATAGATATAAGAACATTGATATACATGAGATGTGATGGAGAGGGATGGAGATGACAGATGTGCCCGAGACCCATCCTCTGGCTGTAAGGAAGGTTGGGTGAATTCTTCCTCCCTGGCTCTGTGTGCAGGGGGGGGAATTCGACCGCAGGATGAATCCCAGGATCTCGGTGGGAGACCGATCATACTTAACAAACAAACCTCTTTTCCTTTGCCTCCTGAAGGATGACAACGTTCTGCCAGGCAAGGTGAAGTTAGGGACATGAACCCGTGATCTCTCCTCCTGGGGAGTAATGCAAAATGCATGAGGTTTAGGCAAAGGAAAGTTAATCTGCTTACATGTATGAGAGCTCGTCCCTGGCTTCCCTTGCAATAGCATCCCCCAGGTGCTCAGCAGGGCTTGCTAAATGATACAAACAAATTAGCCATTAATTGGCTCTTCATTTGCTCTAAATATTTTTCTCTATTCTTTATCTGCAAACTCCCCAACTACAGTCACGTAATTATCCTCTTTTTTTTTTTTTTTTTTTTTTTTTTTTTGCCAAGATATGTTTTATAATAAAAAAGCATTAGAATTTCCCCCTTTGGGGAAAAAGAAGAGTGTTATTCCTGGCTGTGATAAGCTGAGATTTTATTAAGCTTCCTCCATGAGCGCTTTCCATTAGCTGTTTGCAGAGTGCTTTGCAGTGGACATCAGACTTAATGCCTTAAAACGTGGCTGCAAGTTAAGTCACACAAGGGAAGATCTGAGTCCCGACCTGCTATTTGGTCAGCGCAGACGAAATTACACTCCCAGCTGATCTGACTGCATTTAACGCTGGTGAAACAAAGCCAGAACACAGTCCTAAGAACTTTCCCATATTATACAAATTTTGGCATGATCTGGCATGGTTTTGGCCCAAACCAGCTAACACTGTCCTGGACAATGCAAAGATGCCCAGGGAAATATGGCCGGGTCTGCATTAGGTTTGACTGCTTAGAATCATGGGATCATCATGGAATAATTTGGGTTTCAAGGGACCTTTAAAAGTCATCTAGTCCAAATCCCCTGCAATGAGCAGGGGCATTTTCAACTAGAACCGGTTGCTCCAAGCCCCCTCCAACCTGGTCTTGAAGGTCTCCAGGGATGGGGCAGCCACAGCTTCTCTGGGCAACCTGGGCCAGGCTCTCACTACCCTCACAGCAAAGAATTTCTGCCCCAGATCTCATCTCAATCTCCCCTCTTTCAGCTTAAAACCATTACCCTTCATCCTGTTGCAATAGATCCTGCTAAAAAGTTTATCCTTGTCTTTCCTATAAACCCCTTTTAAGTGCAGAAAGGTCACAATAAGGTCTCCCTGGAGCCTTGTCTTCTCCAGGCTGAACCCCCTCAACTCTCTCAGCCCAACCTCCCAGCTGAGGGGCTCCAGCCCTCCCAGCATCTCCGTGGCCTCTTCTGGCTGCACTCCAACAGGTCCATGTCCTTCTGCTGTTGGTGGCCCCTGAGCTGGAGGCAGCACTGCAGGGGGGTCTCCCCAGAACAGGGTAGGGGGGCAGAATCCTCCCCCTTGCCCTGCTGGGGATTCATCCCAGGATGGAGTTGGCTTTTTGGGCTGACCTTCTATAGACTTATTCAGAAACAAGAGTAGCTGGTGCTCATGCAAGCAGCTTGGCAGATTGATGTGTATGAGGAGAAAGAGGACTTGGTGGAATGTCATCAGTAAATATTTTTTTTCTGGGGAAATCTCAATGGTGCAAAGAAAACAACTAACTTCTACAAGCTTTCATAGGGATTTGGGACTTTAGCTGCTTTGTTTTTCGAAATCTCCTCTATGGATTGAGCTTGATGTAAACAGAGAAATGCACTCAGCACAAAGAGATATACAGAGGGAGCTGTTTGGAAAGATCTTTGGGTATACAAAGGACTGGGAATGATGACAAAGGCTTTTCACTTTACTGCAGAGAGCAATCCCTTGACATGTGCTTAAATCTGGATGGTGAACAAGTGTCTCCTGGCCAGTGGAAGGCTAATGCGGCTGAAGATGTATGTAAATATATACTATTTACCAGGGAAGAGGACGTTAGTTGAGGAAATGAATAATTTCAGAAAGAATAAACTGATCAGAGATGTTTGGAGAAGGAAGATGCTCATATAATTGGATTTGATCCAAAGGGTAATGCAATCAAATGATAATGAAGGCCGGTTGTTTATCACCTGTTGTAAGAGAGTTGTCTGGGCAGAGAATAAAGAAAGAAATAGTGTTATGTCTCTATAATAAGAACCTCCAAATAACCTTTTATAGATTTGTAGGGTTTAAAGGGAGATGGGATAATGAGATCTTCAAATCTGACCTCATGTTTGCCATTGTCCTTCCAGTTTCACAGTCATCTCTGCGCTGACTCTATTACATTGGCTTTGATGGCAATAAATCTTCTGGAAGGATATCGAGTCTTATTAAAATCTGTGAGTCACTTCTGTAGCTGAAGTTCCCAGAATTGCACTGATTTAGAGTCACGGAGAGTTTGATGCCGTACTGAAAGTAATAATAATGATAATAATAAAAATTGTTTCTCAGTTTTTTTATAGTATTCTATGAGATCATTAAAAATGAATCTCTGTTAGGAATCTTCCTGGCTTTTAACTAAGTGCACTCTCTGTGGTCAGTTTAGAGACTGGAAGAAACACAAGCCTTATTTTCTG